TGCCCGAGCTGCGCTGTGGGCTGTCAGGGCGCCGGCCCCACCCTGAGCCTGTGTTGCCAGGAGCCCCAGTCCTGGGCCTCACAGGGGCCTGTCCCTGCCAGGTGCAGTGCTCCTGGGGGTCTCTGTCCTCCTTTCTGCTCCCTGAGGGTCTGGAAACAGGGCCCAGAGCATTTGGTGACAGAGGGGTTGGGGCCTGGAGGCCACGGGGGAGACAGTAGTGACATGGAGTGACCATGGCTGTGGTTGGCAACACGGCTGGGCACGGCCACAGGGCCCCTCCTGCCCCACCAGGCCTGGGGCCGGGCCTGCCTCCCGACAGCCCCTCCCGGGGTGCCCCAGAATGCTGGGGGTGCAGCACCCTAGTGTGCCACTCTGGGCCAGCCCGGCAATGCGGGCTGGTTTGGGGTCACCTGCCTGGAGTGGCTACCCTGCCCCTCTGCTCCCCTGCCCCTTCGAACTGCGTTTCCTCCTGCACAAGATGTCCGGAGAGTGCCCCCTGGTGGGGAGAGACACCTGCAGTAACGTGTCTGTCCAGCCAGACCTGGGCTTGGTGCTAAGCAGGGAGTCAGGAGTGAGGCGCACATGGAGGGGGGGGCACGTCGGGTGGGATGTCCCACTCCCTGCTAATGGCAAGTGGGACTGGATCAAAGCCAGGCTCACCTGGCTGTCTCCACTGCAGGCCGCCTGCCCTGTCCTCCCGCACACACTGGCAGAGCAGGGCAGGGGCTGCATGGGCCTGACTGGACTTGGGGCCAGAGGACGTGAGGTTGCACTGGCCCCGGCGGCCTGCGGTGACTGGTCTTGCCTGTCTCGACACCTCCTGGAAACAGCCGGGCCACCTGCGGGTGACGTGCCCTCCTCTCTGTCCTGTCAGGGCCGGCCGGTGTCTGGGTCTGCACTGCCCGTGTCTCCAGTCACTGGGAGGGTGCCGTGTGGCCCTGCCTGTTCCCCGCGTGTCCCCTTAGAGCCCGTCTTGCTCCCGAGGAGGCGAGGGGATCTGAAGCCGGTGCTCTGGCCTTAAGGGCTGTGCTGGCCGCTGGGGACTGCCAGGACCAAAGTGCTCCCTGTGGCCACCGTGGCCGGGCGAAGGCAGCACAGGGCGTCGTCCGCAGGTCTGTGTGTCCCCATGCTCCCTGCCCCTGCGTGATGCTGCCCGTCTGGTCACCAGGGCCACTGCCCTCTCAAGATCTGACCCTTAATCACGCCGCCAGGTCCCTGCTGCTGTGGCGTGACGTAGCCGCAGGTGGATGGCGCTCCACCTCGGCCTGGCCTCTGACTGGGTCTGGCAGCTTGAGACTGGACGGGGGTCTCCTCACAGAGCACACGAGGCCACTGGAGAGGCAGGCGCCTTCGGCCTCCCGAGAGGAACCCGGGCAGCCCCCCTGTCAGGTGGTATGGAGGAGGGCCAGGGGTGTGCGAGGGCCAGCGGGCAGTCACCACCTGGGGCCGAGGGCTGGCTGACCCGGCCTGGGAGGGCGAGGCCGGTGAACGGAGGGCAGGGGCTGCCGGGGTCCCCAGGGTGGGCCCAGGTCCGGGCCCCGTGCTCGCTGCTCTTGCTGTGTGGACCGTGGGCTCCTGAGAGCAGCGCCAGCCAGGGGGCCAACGAGCCGGCGCTGCGTGTTCGCTGCCGAGTCGGGGAGCGCACGTGCGCGGGCGTCAGGACTCGGGCTGACTCGGAGTGGGGGCGCTCCCAGCGCAGCTCCGGGGGGTCAGGTGGACGGAGGAGCAGGCCTAGGGGCCAGGCCAGCTCAGAGCTGCACTGCCTGTCCGCCGGGCATGATTGTCCTGCCAGCGTCCCCGGGCGGGGCTCATCTCAGGACCGACCCCCAGGCCCGCAGAGGACGGCGGCAGAGACCCACAGGTGCCCCTCTGCGTGTCGGCCCGTGTCCACGCCCGGCTTCCTCCCGGCTCCCCAGCTGCAGCCCAGCGGCTCAGGCTCTCCGGCCCCGTCCGCGTCTCATTGCCCGCCCCACAGGCAGCCTACTCCTCCAACCTCCGTGTGCTGGCCTGACTGTCCCACCGAGCTCAGGCTCCCCTGGCCAGCCTCGGTGCGGCTCTGGGGGCCCTCGCTGGACATCAGGCCTGGCCGCCCTTGGGAGTGAGGGTGTCCTGGCGTCACCCCTGCGCCTGTCTGTGAGCTCCCACGGCCCAGAGTTGTGCTTTCTCTGTCCCCCCCCTTGGCTGGCTCATCCCACTGGCTGGCTCCCAGACCCAGGCAGGGCCTATGTGTGACCTCTGTCCCCTGACAGGGCAGGGGCTAAGCCACTTGCCGAGGTCTCAGGGGCAGATGAGGGGCTGCCTCTGTAGCACAGTGGTCTCGCGCCCACAGGCCGACCGGGGTTGTCCTAGCCCTGCGGCCTGAAGGTCCTGGCCGCGTGGAGAAGAGAGGAGAGGCCGCTCGGAGCAGGCCCTGGGGTCCCCCTCCTGCCCGCACACGCTCCTGGCATGAACAGGTCAGATCAGGGGCTGCCCCTCTTGCCCTGGGCACGGGGGGCACGAATGGGTGGGAGACTCATATCCCACACAGGCCTCCCGGAGTGGCGCAGATCCCCCTCAGGCCGGGCACCCTGGGGCCACGTGGCTTCCCTGAGCCTCGAGTTCCTTACCCGCAGTGGGGACGGTGCTACCTACCACGCAGCCTCGGGACTGGTGGAAGGAGCGTGCGTGTGTGCGTGTGCGTGTGCGTGTGCAGACGCCCGCACGTATGTACATATGTGGGGCCAGTGTGTACTGTGTGTGCGATCCCGTGTGTGGCGGTGTGTGGCGTCTCGTTGGCCACAGGCACGGAGCGCGTCTGTCTGCGTGGGCAGGCGTGTGTGTTGTGTTGATGCCCTTGGCACTGGGGGGGGGGGCCCTGGTCCGTCTGGGATCGAAGGGCCCGGCCAGGCTCCCTGGTGGGATTTGGTGGGGGCTCTGGGGTCCAGAGGAGGCGGGTACCCTTGGCCCAGGGGTCAGGGCAGACAGGACTGAGGACGGGTCTGCCTGCAGCCAGAGGTGATGGAGCCCTCCTCCTCTGCTGGGACCGACCCCTGGCAGCACAGCGGCCACGGCTCCTGCCTGCCTGGGCCTCAGGGTCCTCGTCTGCAGAAGGGGTGAGGAGGGAGCTCCCAGCACGTGTGATGGCTGCTGTGGTCCCCCTGTTCGTGCAGAGTGGGGGTCCAGGCACAGTGACGGGGCTTCGGCACTGACTGTTCACAGACACTGACGTTTAAGTGTCTGGCTGTAGCCACCCTGCCACCTGGCAACTCGGAGTCCAGGCATGGGCTGGCCCAGCACCCTGGCGCCCACCCGAGTGTAGCACGTGGGGCACTGGCCCTGGGACTGGGGTCCTCTGGAGGCCGAGAGGACCCATGAGGACCAGGCTCCTGGGCCCTCTTGTTTTTAGCTGAGCTGGAGGTGGAGGCTGTGGTAGGGGCTGGGGACTGGGGGCCCGGGCGGAGGCTGTGGGGGCTCAGCTTCCTCATGGGCCCTTGAGGCAGCTCCTGCCCAGGAGAGGGCCTGCACAGCCAGGGGTGACAATGAAGGGGCAGCTCCTGCGCAGTCTCTGAGGGCCAGAGGGCAGCCCTGGGCCTGAGGCCCCATGTACCCTGGACCAGTGGGGGGGTGTATTGGTGGGAGGCGGTTGCCATGGCAGCGCCAGTGCTTCCTGGGAGCAGCTGCCCGTGTGAGGGTGTGCTGTGCGCCTCCCACTGCCAGGACTCAGTGAGCAGCCTGCAGGGCAGGGTGCACGTGCACGCACACCCCAGCTTGTGCTATGGGGCCCCTGCTCAGACACCTGCTTGTGGCCTGCAGGACCAGGACACCCCGAGTGGAGCGGCAGGGCTCCTCCAAGTGCAGGCTGAACTGCTCCCCCTGGCTTGGGACATGGGCCTCGCTTTACTGCCTGGCCCTGCCCTCCTGCGCCCCAGCCCCGCCTGGCCCACCCGGGGTTCCCTGGCCCTCTCTTTCCTGTGTCCCCCACGCCTGGCTGTCGAAGACAATGTGGAGTCCTGAGTGGACCACTTCCAGGCAGCCCACCCAGACCCAGCCCTGGCAAAGGCTGGCTGCTAACTAAGCTGGGCCTTAGTGTGGGCCTAGAGGCTCCCGCCTCAGCCTCCCAAGCACCTGGGATCCATGTGTGCACCACCACGCCCAGCTTTGAGAGTGACCAGGACTTGAACCCCGCCTCGCGAGCCTTAGCCTGAGGAGCAGGAGTCCCGGAGCATGCTGCCATAGCCGGACCCGGGCCTGTTTCCGTCCATCCCACGGGGCAGAGGGGCAGCCACACAGCAGGTGCAGCCAGGCCAGGGAGCAGCCATGGGAGCCATGAGGGCATGGGTACTTGGGCAGAGCCTGGGACAAGGTGGGGACTGGAGTGGGTGTGGTGGGCTGGGCCGGGCCGGGCAGAGTGGCCAGCTCAGCCCGCCCTGCCCCGCACCGAAGCTGGATCCAGCCTAGTCCTTGGGTGCTGGGGCACGCTGCGCTAGTCGTGGTGCCTCAGTTTCCCCACCTGGAGCGAGGGGCTCAGTGGGGGCCGCCGCCATCCTCTGACCAGAAACAGCTTTGGGGCGTGAGGGGCGCCTGCAGCCTTCTCGGGGTCCTTGCACCCTCATCTCGCGACTCCCCGCCCAGCTATCTAGGGCTGCTCGTCTCCCTTCTGTAATCCATGCCTGCCTCGCAGCCCCAAAGGGGCAAGGTGGGACCCCTGGAGTCCAGGAGAGACGTAGAGAGGTCTTTTGTACAGCCTCGCTCAACCTCTCAGGTTCCTGTGAACCCCAGAACTGAGAGTCGGGCAGTTCTGGGGTTCACAGGATGCCCCCCAGGCAGGCCCAGAGCGTGCCTGGTGGCCCGTCCTTGGCTCTGGGCTGGCCCTCATGCGCTGGGTCTGGCTCAGAACGGCAGCAGTGACTCCAGGAGGCTGGGGCACGGGCGGGGCGGGCCGGGATCTGGCAGCCCGAGGCGAGGACCTGGGTGTCGCATGGGGGCCCAGAGGTGCCCAGCACGCTGCTTTCTCCGCAGACGGCGCCCCGCCCAGTGAGCTGTCCTGGTCGTCCTCCCTGGCTGTGGTGGCCGTGTCCTGCTCAGGGCTCTTCACTGTCATCGTCCTCATGCTGGCCTGCCTGTGCTGTAAGAAAGGTGGCATAGGATTCAAGGTGAGGGCCGGCCTCCCCGGGGCCACCTGGGCACGGCACCCTCTGTAACCCTGCTGCCCCACACAGGGAACCCTGCTTGCCGTCAGTGTCCTCCCTGGCCTTGGTGACCTGGGCCCACAGCCGGCAGGGGCGCTGGAGGCCAGGGACCGCTCATCGGGGTGCTGTTCCCCACCCTGCAAGTCACAGGGCCACCCCATCTAGTTATGGCTCTGTTCCAGGGACCCGGGGAAGGCACACTTGGGGCCCAGCCAGAGCCTGCGTGGGCCGCATTCTTGCCGTGAGCTGGTTGCGGGCTGGCCAGAGACCTCTGGTTGCCCACACACTGGCGTTCCTCCGTGGCCTGGAGGGGGGTTCCCACTGTGGAGAGGTCAGGGTGTGGCTGAGCCAGCACCCCCTGTTCATTCCTGGGGCGCCTCTGTACTCGGCGACCCACACCCCAGCCAGTCGCCCAGGGTCCCCGCAGCCTCCCCGCGCTGTGAGCTGTCAGGGGTGAGCACAGGGCCCCTGGCAGGCGGGATGATGGTATGGCTCTGGCCTCCTGCCAGGGCCACATGGGAGCTCTGAGGGCAGCCTGGCCTTCCAACTAGGGATCCTCCCACCAGCCCTGGGGCCATGTCCCCACCCTGTAGACACAGCTGGCTAGGTAGGTGGCACTCTTCTGGAGGGGTGGGGGAGGGGACTCAGGTAGGACTTAGGGCCCTTGAAGAGGCAGCCCCTCCTCAGGGCTCTGGAGAACAAGGCCCTACACATGGGCCAGCCAGGGCCCCGCCTACCCCTGCCCTCCTCACCTCCTGGGGAACATGGTGCCCGGGACATTCCAGCACCAGCGTGCCTGGGGGAAGGGCCTGCCTTCACAGTGGGTGCCCCTGGGCTCCTGTGGCCGTGCTGGGGCTCCATGCTCACGCTGTCCTACCTGCTTGTCCGCTGTGCTGGCCGAACCTGGTGGCACCGTCAGGTAAAGGGCTGGGGCCAGGGCCCTGGGGCAGCGACTATGCCCAGGCCTCCAAGCCAGGGCCCAGGGCGTGGTGGGACGGGGCAGGCACTGGGGCTTCTAGGCACCAGCCCCCACCCCGCTACCTCCCGAGTGGCTGTCTTCCGGATGCAGCCCGGTGGCCGGCAGGATCCCAGCGGAGGGTTGCCAGCCTGCTTTGCAGTAAGAAATGGAGGGGCCCCCAGGGTCACCCACAGCACATGCCTCTCAGTGGCCCAGAGGTCCTGGCCTGCTGCTGGGCCTCAGATACCCCCCAGGCTGTGAGGGTGGCAGTGGGACAGCCATGGCGCCAGAAGCTGCAGGCCCCCAGGGACCAGAGCTGCTGCCACGTCAGGGGTGCAACTGCTGAGGGTCAGGCATGGGCTTCTTGAGGTGCTGGCTCTCCACTCAGGAATGTGCTCTTCCCTGGGAGGGGAGGTACCCCTGGACAGGTGTGGCGGCCACTTTCAAAACAGCAGCCTGGCCAGCGTACCAGCCCAGGCCACTCGGGGCCAGGCTCTTACTGAGCTCCAGAGTGCCTAACTGCAGCCCCGCCCCGCCCCGGGGAAGGTTCAAGCCTGGCTGCAGGCGAAGTTGGGTGGCCGGTGGCCCCTGGGGCGGAGACAGCCGGTGGGCTCGCTGTTCTGGGTACTCAGGAGGGCCTCCTGCCTGGGCGGGGTGGGCGCTTGGTGGCAGGCTGGGGTGCCCTGTGGTAGGGTCATCCAGTAGGGCCTGGGCTGAGGGCTGCTGGGAGCTGTCAGGGCTGACAGGACTGTCCTGAGACCCCAGCCTCTATCCTGGGACAGCTCAGGAGGGAGGGGCTTGGAGCAGGGTGGGGGCAGCTGGGCTGGCGCCGAGACTTGGCCTGGCCAGGGGCTGGCGGGTGAGTGCCAGCTCTGGGCCCATCCCTGCAGCCTAGCCCGCTGCCCAGGGCTGCCACCCCTTCCCGCAGACGGCCCAAGGGCTCATGGTGCACTGTGCTGGCCGGGCCGCACGGGTT